CTTATCTACCGTTGAGTTCAATGGCATCGAAGAGTGCAACTTGGTGATGGGATAGATGGGGTGGCACTTTGAGAATACCCACCTCTCGATGTTGTCTACGTCGTAGACGGTGCTGGAAGGGACATTTGCGGGGTCCTGCATGATGTCTCATGATGTCTAGTCAGACCAGGAACACGAAGTACGGGGGATGTTGATTTCGAACATTGCTGGAGATGAGTTGAAGGCTATGTTCTGCTTATTTGTGAATATGTGTTTTTGGTTAAGGACTTAAGATTGGCACAGTAGCGGACTTGACCTTTTTTAGGTTTATTGTTGTTTATGTCCACAGATGGTTTGTGTTAGATTCTATATTTTGGAGAAAACATTTTTCAAATGTTTCACTTAATTATTTTGTGGAAGAATTATATGTTTACTTGATGTTACCATACGACAAAGGAGCAGTTGCTTTTTGGTTAATTATTGTATTTTTTGTTTTGAATATTTCTTATGATTATTTATATTGATTATTTCTTATGATTATTTATATTGATTGTTTTGTTTCATTTTTATTTGTAGGTCTGTTGTACTTTATATTTTAGGTGCTACTTTTGTGAGTGAATGTTTAGTTTTTGGGTGTATAAGAATAATAATTTTATAACTATAATAAATAGAAAATAATCTATTTATAGTATGTATTCTGAAAATAAAATAAAATATATATAAATTTACTTTTTCGTGTGTATAAGAGTATTAATTTTAAAGCTGTAATAAACTTAAAATAAATTATATATAATATTTACTTGTATAATAAACTGAAAATAAAATATATAAATTTAAATTTACAATATTCTTGTAATGGTTTATAGAAACTGAAAATAAACCTATAATAAACTAAAAATAAAAATGGTTTATATAAACTGAAAATAAACCTATAATAAACCAAAAATAAACTAAATGTAAATTTACTGTAGAAAAATAGATTTATAAACCCAAAATAAACTAAAAATAAACTTGATATATTTATGTAAGTAAAGACCAATAAAGTTTTTGTATCTATACTCACACACCAATATTGTACTACTGCTACTAAGATCCACAGGAGGAAAACAAAAAGTTGTTTTTTCAGGTGACATAAAACCATCCCAACTTCAGGTAACATTTTTTTTCCTACTCCAAAATTCGCAAATTTTGCTTGAAAAAAGAAAAAAAAATAAAAAACTAGAACTACTCCAAAATTCACAAATTTTGCTCAAAAAAGGAAAAAAAAAAAAACTGAAAAAATAGTGAAAATGATGCGGCTACTTTCTGTCTTCTTTCTTCTCCAGCTGTACCTCAAAATTCGGTGAACGGCCACGGATGCTGCATCCTACACCTCATCAGCATTCCAAAATCCTCAAAACTGGTTGCAATAATTCCCATGGCAGAGGAATTCCCAAAGTATCAGTAAATATTGACCATAACATTAAACAGAAATCTAAAAAAAAAAAAATGATGCTAACCATAAACATGAAATTCATGATGGTAACCTTTCCTTGTATAACATCAACGTGCGTCGATTCCGCTTAAATTAATTAGGATGGGAAGGATTGCTCTTCATTCCTTTTTTAAGCAATAGTTTTCCTTTTGGAATATTATTAGAACAGATTGCGTAAAGTTATGAAAGAAACTTTTGTATCGTAGATATGGTACCTCTTAAAATCTATCTCGTCTGCGTGTACTTAGGCCAAAAATGTAGTAGTTTGATATATTGTTGATACATGAGTATGAGCCCAATAAATTAATATAAACCTTATTATTTTAATAAAAAAATCATATACATTTAATTGGACGTCGTTTCTAGATTTTGTTTATTTATTTATTCATACTAATAGTAGGAATGTTAATTAAGATCGAAAAAGCAAAAGATTGTTTGTGCCTTACGTTTTAGCTTTTACCCAAGAGATTCTCTACTCTCGCATCAGAGACCACCTCTCCATATATATATATATATTTATACACGGACTTTTCCACTCTATCCCTTTTATCTTTGCTCTTTCTCATAGCACAAGAAACATATTCACGATTTCAAACTGATCATCGGTAGCATGAGTCCCAAAGTAAAATCATCATAAAGATGTACTCACGAATCAGATGATTTTGCTTTGTGACTCATGCTGCCGATGATCAGTTTGAAATCGTGAATATGTTTCTTGTGCTATGAGAAAGAGCAAAGATAACCGGGATAAAGTGGAAAGGTCCGATATATATATATATATATATATAGAGAGAGAGAGAGAGGTGGTCTCTGATACGAGAGTAAGAATCTCTTGGCTAAAAGCTAAAACGTAAGGCACAAACAATCTTTTCCTTTTTCGATCTTAATTAACATTCCTAATATTAATAATAGTAGCATTCATTTTACGACTTAAAATTGCAATTTTTGTTATTGTCATACTAATCGGCTAAAGTTTCTGAATGATATGAAAAAATAAATAAACAAAATCTAAAAACGACGTTCAATTAAATGTATATGATTTTTTTATTAAAATAATAAGTTTTATATTAATTTATTGAGTTCATACTCATGTCTCAACAATATATCAAACTATACTACAATTTTTATATATTAAGGTTGAATTAAGAAGCATATATAAAACATGCCAGGGGCATATTATTGGGTTCATATAATAAGATATATGTACCCTGAGCATAAGGTGATACATATAGAAATTCCAAAAGTTGACTTATATATGAGCATGTGATGGCAAATAATTAAACTTTCAGAAGTTTTTCTAGTTTCTCTAGTCGATTAACTCACATAATTTCCTATCAAAAAACAATAAACAACCATTAACTTCAATAATTTTATCTCTATCCCCGGTCCATCCAAAACCATATAATTGAGAGTTTTTAAAAATCAGAAACCAAAATAACCCTTGAAATGAAACAAAGACAAAAATTAAAAAGAAAACTACACAAAAGAATTGCAGCAAAAATCCAAACTTTGGACATAACATCTCTACTTGTCTTTACTCGTTCTCCAAGGTTTCAAAAAGAACCATCTTAGAGTACAAATCAACAAGAAAGCATATAATTGCAAGCATTTAGCAAGCGAAAAACACCATAACTCATCAAATGAACCAGAAACAAAAGGCACATAAACAAAATTGCAGCAAAATTCCAAATATCAGCCATAAACATCTTTTACTTGCCTTTGCCCTTTCCCCAAGGTTTAAAAAAGGTCCAGCTCAGAGTACAAATCATCAACCACAACGTCCTCAAAATTTCCGGGGAGCATCTGGTGGACAAGTCATCCAAATCCAGATTCAACAAGGAAGTCCCCGCTCCCAGCAGTACCTATGACACAAAATCGATTCAGGTGAAGTTCACCAACAGTTCATTTACCCCATTATCAAGACCTTAAATCAGAAGAAAAAAGAAAAAGTGAAGAAAAATTACCCATTAGCAAAAACTCCTCTCTCACCCGGAGGAACGAAACTCCTTTCCACAATCTAGCAAAAGCTAAAGACCTCAGTACCCAATCACCCCAAAGTTATAAAAAAAAAACTCGCCAACCTCTTCTGCCCGAGCAGCTCCCACCTCGGTGGCCCCTCTCCTAAAACCCACGAATAAAATACCTATACTATTGAACAAAATTTCTCAATTATCAGATGAGTCACCCATGAAACCACATACTGAACGGACAGAATCAACTAACAGTTTCATTCCCTGGAACCCATGAACAGGTGAGATTTATACACCCACAAGTGTGTGTAGCACCATCTTATCTCAAGTTAATTGAACTGAAAAGAACAAAGATCATTACATTCAAGCATACATTTTTATGCAAAACATGAGCACCAAAATATACAATATACCTTGTATCTGCTCACAAGATCTTTATATTTTCTGCACTGATCAGGTGTTCTCCTATACCCCTTTTTCCTCATACCATTAGCCACAGCTTCCGAAAAATTCTTTTCCCTTTTTATTGCTGCTAACCCACCTCAAATTGAACCCTAGTTTCAATTAAATTCCTCATTTCCTGGTTTTTCCATTGGGGAACCTCTCGTCCCTCCTTGAGAAATCATCGTCGCCACTCTCCAGGAGATAAATTGTTGTCATCGAATATCTGGCAAGACCAAAAAATGATGGCCACTGGCCACCGTGTACAGTAAAAAAGCGATAGGCACAGGCCACTGATCGCGTGGAGGGGGTTTGAGAATTGGGAAATGAGAGTAATTAATTAGGTAGGGTTTTGAAGTGCAGAAGGTATTACCTGCTCCGTCTCCATCTCTCACCTTGCGTGTGCGGGAGTTCCGCCGAAAGAAGAGAAAAACTGGCAGTGGAGGCAATTCGAACGGACACACACCAGATTTTTGGGTCCGGGGCTGCTGTGAGGCCACGCTGTGGTCAGGGTCCAACATAACCCTCGCCGGCGATGTCTCCGTGAGAAACCCGAACTTTGCGTCGTTCAGGTACCGGAACACCACGACGAATCTACTATCGGAGAGCGGTAATCGGAAGGACCGAAGGCCACATGGGAGGGCGAGTGTGCGGCGGACGATGAGGGAACATCACGGTTGACGTGATGACAGACCGGGAGTTGTGGCAGCTGGATCTAGCGTCGGTGACGATGAACAACTACACGGTGGTAGGTGGGAGGGTGAAGACATTTTTTTGGAAGTACACATGTTTAGATAGAGATGTTAAATGGTCCTGGACCCCACGGGCCGACCCGTTTAGCCCAGAAAAAAAGAGGTTAAATCTTTTTATTAATAGTTCGTTTAAATTAGGGTTTTTCAGGTCCGAACCGTTTAGCCCGAAGCCCGCTAGGGCTAGCCCGGAACCCACTAAGGCTGGCCTGTTTAACTAGGGTTGGGCAGTTTAACTGTTTGCATCAAATAAGTAATATGCTCTTAGATTCCTTATATATTACAATTTTGATATTCTACTTCACATATAAGTACGAGTTGTAAGGATTATTATGATTTTGAAAGATAATTATTAACAATATTGTTATTGTACTTCATACCAAAATATTTAAGCCAATCAGAACGACTAATAAGAAATACATGAAACATAGTGATAGACGGTAAATACTAAATAGCCGTTGAAAACAATTTTTAACTAGCCGTTGTTATTTTTTTTAATATTTTTTACTCTTTTTATGTTTTATTTTTTATATATTATTATTATTATTATAGTCATAGCCCGCATAGCTCGTTTAGCCCGAAGCCCGCTAGGATTAGGGTTAGGGTTAGGTCTTTTTTTTGGTAGCCCGTTTAAATCCGGACTTTTTAGGCTCGGACCGTTTAACCCGAAGTCCGCTATGGCTAGCCCGAAACCACTAGGGCTAGTCCGTTTAACATCTCTAGGTTTAGAGGACTCATATGCAATTTCTTGAATTTTAATATATTCGAACTTTAGTAATTGAGGCAAATATATAATTTAATGAAAGATCAAACATGCACAAGAATGATACATAAGATGTCAATATTGCATGAGGACATGCACATTAAAAATCCAATAATATTTTTTACGAAATTACAGAATTGCGATCAACTACACATTTAAAAGTTCACAATTTTACCAAAATGCCACCGTACTTAGGCTTGTTCACTGACCGAACGACCGATCAAAATAATCGAGTCGAACTTTTGAAAAAACTGAATCGGCCAAAATTTTGTCCCAAATCAAAATAAAAACGAAGCGAAATATTCAATTTAGTCGGACGGTTAATCGAATTAACCAAATTACTGAAATTAAATATTATTTATGTTAGAAAAAACATATTTAGTATTTTAGATATTTTTATTTAATATTTTATATTATATTTGGCTGAAAAGAAATAATATACTTATATAAAACTTAAAAAAAAATATATTTTTTTATACAGTTTGGTCTGTTCAGTTACTTTAAAAATAAAGTTGAATCAATACCAAAATAACTGAAATTTTTAAATATAAAACTCATAGCCGATGCGACATATATAATATCGAACCGAAAATTTTAGTCGGTCGTTTTTTTCAATTTTGGCTAAACTTTGTACACCCTTATCCACGCTAAAGGATGTGCAATATCGACAAATAATGTGCACATTAATACGCATGCAAATAAACAATAGCTTAGTAATGTATTTTTTTACTTTTCACGGTGGTCATTGCGCATAATAATTGTTATGCTAATATGCAAATACATTAGTGTATATATTTAGTCTAATACTATGGTGTATTTTGCAGCACTGATATTTTTAATGTGCATATCCATACACAATATTCTACAATTTACATATCAATATTGCGCATTTATTAAACTTTTTATAAATACAGTTTTAACCCATGAATTAAATTGCATTATAGTTAAATTTGCCGGTAAGTCCTTATAACTTATCTAATTTTTAATAAAATACCTTTATTTTCAAATTCGGGTCTCCCCATCTACCACCACCATCACCACACCCGCCACACATCCACCCACCACACCACCATCAGCCACCGCATCTGTACTGACCACACCACCATTCCACCAACTGTCGCCGCATCACAGCTAGTCACAGTCCCGCCACTACCGCCCCCACAACAACCACCCTGCCTCATCGAATCTCGTCGGTCGGCAGCCCAACCACACCACTACCATGCGAGTCTAGTTAATTTAATTTTACCCTTGATTTTTTCCGCTTCATGTGCAATTTCGTCGTTGATTTTGTCCTCAATTTTCTCAAAAAATACCATTGCCTATGTTTGTCCCATTCTTGTTGCGTTTTTCGTGTTTATTTTATCTTTCTTTTTCCCCCGTTTAGGTCGTTTCTTTAGTTTTTAGTCCATTTCGTGTTTTATTATGTGTTTTCCTTTATTTTGAGTCTTTAGGTGTTTTTCGTTTGTTTTTCCGGTTTTCTTTTGTGTTTTGTCGTTTTTGGTGTATAGGTCGGGAGCTTTGGGAGAATTTTCTCTTCAGGAAAAATTGGTTTCAAGAGCATAATTAAATAGAGGGGTTCGTTGGCGACGCATAGCAAAAAACGGAACTCAATTCTGAGTTCAGACGAGCCTAAACGATCCCGAAACGTAAAATTGCGCAGTGCAGTCCAAAGTCGCGACTCGCGAGAGCAAAGTCGCGACTCGTGAGACGAAAGTCGCGACTCGTGAGGCGAAAGTCGCGACTCGCGAGAAAAACAGAGCCTCCGATCACCCTGCACGACCCCACGACCCGTCAGACTCGCGACTCATGAGCTGTTCGACCCTGTTTTTATTTTTCTCCGTTTTTACTTGTTTTAGCTTCGTTTTTCGAGCACTATATATCAAAACGACCCCCCTGACCTAAGGAACAATTTCAAACACTTGTTTCTTTCAATTTTCTCTCCAAAAACTCAATATTATTAGGATAATTTTCTCCGCTTTTTTTTTTCTCTCATGCTTGGATTGTTGGACACAAAGATATTTGGATTGAAATCTTGCAAAATCTTAATCCGATTGTAAGTTTTTCAATTCTATTTTATTATTGTTGATTGATTTTATGTTCTTAATTCCATTTAACATGAAATTGAATCTAAGCATGAAGTAATCCGTTCACCTAGGGTTAGGGATTTTGATTCTTGTTTTGAATTATGAGGAATGTGTTTTGTTCAATCTATACGAGTTGTGTGAATTATAGGGTTAGTTGATTGATCACCATTCTAACCTAGTTAATCGGCGTTTAGAATCGAGAGGGGAGACGTCGGTCGATTTAGGCTCGTATAGAGTAGACATGTTCGTAAAAGTATTGTCTATGTATTGCTTATTTGAATGAGTTTATCGTTTATATTTGTGCTCTTGTTACGAAGAGTTATTGAGCATAGCCCTCTAGACGCGTAGGCTTGTTAAATCTCGTAAACGAACAAATAAGCGTTCAACATAGTTTAAGACTTGATGAGATTTCCCGACTCCTAGAACTTCTTCTTTTTCTCTAAAATTTAATTATTATTTCTTTAAATTGTTTTTCTAGTTATAACTTGTTTTAGTTAATTCTCCAAATCAATCGTGATTAGAGTGTTTAGGACTTTTTTTTTTTCGAGTATGATCAAGACCAACGTTAAATTCCAAACCGTCTTCCTCGAGAGATCGACCCGGGGAACGAATATTTTGATTCGGTACTCGGTAAAAAAATATAATTTGCTACAACAGCCTACATCGGTAATCATTTAGAACATAGAACTTGCGCGGCGATAGCAGCGCCGAGGTGTCGCACAGAGGGGACCGATGTTGCAGTGGCGTCACCGAGATTGTTTCGAGCAACAACGACTGTCGGACAGAGGGGGAGGAGGGCCCGGCAAGCCTCGATGGAGATCTGATTGAACGGCGGTGTTGGTGCTAGCACTGGAGTGGCGGTGGACGTTCGGCTGTCGAGGATGCCGGAAGCCGGCGGGGTAGAATCGAGGTTATGTTCTCTTGCGCGCGTGTATGTGTGTGTTCGTGTGGTGTGTGTATGTGTGTGTGTGTGTGTGTCAGCGTGATGTGTATGTCGGTCTATTCTGTGTGTGAGAAAGAAGGGAGGGTAGGTGCGGTGGGGTGGGATCCACTGGTGAGTGGGTTGGTTGGATGGGCACGGCTAGTATAAAAAATACCCTTATTTAATATAGAACTGTGGCTTTTATTGGTCGTTGGATTATCCAATCTAATGGATACAATGTATTTTTATTTCTTTCACTGAGAATCATTTTCACCGGAGCTCATCATATCCCCCCTATATATAATTTCAGAATGCTTTGAGTCTACGTGGAATACTCTCATACTTCGAAATTTTATTTGGCAAAACACCATGCTTCGAAGTTAGGCTTGGATATAAATTAATATTTTTTATCCAAAAATAATTGAACTTGGATTTTATTTATTATCTATATTATTCATACAAAAATTCATAATTTATTTTTTTCTTTATTTTCTTNTTATCATTTACCAAAAATAGTAGCAAAAAAATAGGTAAGAAAATAATGCCGCCTATAAATAGTAAGTTTTATTATTTTTCTTATTTTTTTCTTTAAAAATCATACATCATGAAATGTTACCTTAAATTTCGGGCTTTAGTTCATTTTATTATTTAAAAAAATCTGGATAAGATTTATTAATTGTGTATGTTTTTATTTTTATTTTTTTCTTAAAAACAATGAACAACATTAAAATCTCTGTCTCTATATTTATAAAATCTCAATTCAAAATATAACAAAAGTTTTAGAATCTCGATCTTTATATTTGTGTCTTTAAAAAAAATATTGAACGCTAAAAATATTCTTTAAATTGCATAATCAATCAATTAATATTTTTTTTTTTAAATTACAATGTTATTTTTTATTAATATGCATAAAGTAAAATAATTAATTCATCTTTAGATATATTATTTATAATATTAATATACTATCATTTGGTGTAAACATTTATTATATGAATCATAAAATATTTTTATTTCATAAAATTAAATATATTAAAAGAAAATAAGAAAATTTCTTCGGGATCAATCGGGTGATTGAATTAGGGTAGTGCCCAGGTTGATTGAATTACTTTTAGGTGATACTTAAAATAGTCAAAAAAAGTTGACACAACTTGGTTGGTCCCAGGTGACTAAGTTATGTATCAGTTCGACCACACTAAATCGATTATTGAACCTAAATATAAATTTTATATTTAAAATATTTTATTAAGTGAATGTGATGTAGTCCGAACTT